ATTGAGCACGCTTTTGCGTCAGCTTAATGTCAGTAGCCCATCATATGTGTGGACAAGCATATCGGCAGCACGTGAATTACTATTGCTGAGAGTTAGACAGAAAATACATTCGGGATATGAAGTGAGAGTATGGGAGAACCCATGGATTCCTACCATTCCAGCGAGACCAGCCCTCCCATCTGCACCGGTACTGCATCCGAATTTGAGAGTGAGTGATCTAATCAATCAAGAGACAAAGAATTGGGATATAGGCCGGTTGGAGAACTATGTTGCTGCTGCTGATATACCTCTCATTCGAAGTATGGCCATAAGTTCTACTCGTCGCAGGGATACGCACTGTTGGAGCTACACAAGAAATGGACAGTACACAGTCAAATCTGGATATTGGGTTGCATGAAATATTTTGATGGAGGAGGAAAATGTAGTTTGTGAACCTAGTATCACAAGACTCCAAACACATGCTTGGAAGGTTAAGGCGCCTCGGAAGATGTGTCATCTTATGTGGCAAATTCTAACAGGTCATGTGGCTGTCACAAGTACTTTGAACTATAGGCATATGAGATGTGACAATCATTGTCCAAGATATGGGGAGCCAGAAGAATCATTAACTCATGTGATTTTCCAGTGTCCACCTGCAATGCAAGTTTGGGCCTTAACATCTACACCTACCAATCCTACCTTATTTCCATTACTGAGCACGTATGCGAATATGGATTATTTATTCTGGGGGAAAAATGCCATAATGGAACCGGAAATGGACAGAGATCCTTATCCTTGGCTAATATGGTATATCTGGAAAGCTCGGAACGATAAGCTGTTTAGAGGAATCGATAGAGACCCTTTGGAGTTAGCCCGATATGCGGATAGTGAGTGTCAAGCCTGGTTCCAAGCCAATGAGCAGGTCATATCGCCATCTCAAGGAAATCCAGAAGTTGAAAGCCAGGCCATAAGCCTGGGAAATATTTGTATGGTAGATGGCTCTTGGACCCCGACAGCTCAGTTCAGTGGGTGTGAATGGGTATGGAATGACAGTATGGGGAATAGTCAGTTGATGGGGTTGTGCAATTTCTATAGAGTGGAGTCTGCCCTGCACTCTGAGCTGGAAGCACTGTGGTGGGCAATGGAGAATATGCTTCAGCATTCGCCATGCCAGAGCTTTGGGACGGACTGCAAGGAGATGATAGCGATGGTGACGAATCCTCATGACTGGCCAAGCTTCTCAACGGATTTGGAAAAGCTCATGACGCTACAGATCTGCTTCCCAGAGTTTAAAATCTTCTATGTTCCTAGAACATGGAATGATGTTTCTTATTCCTTAGCTAAAACTGTTCGATCTTTCTATCGAGAACTTATGTTTGTTGGTTGTTCTATTCCGGTCTGGATTCCCAGACCACCTCAAGCTTGAGTATTAGATCAGCCTTTTGATGCTAAAAAAAAATAAAAACCAAAACCAAAGAACCGAACCGGAACTGAATCGAGATCCTCAAATATCCGAATGGTTCTTATATTTATATATCCAAAATAACTACACCGAACCGATAACCGAACGGATACCCGAATATATAATAATATTAATTACATATATATATATATATAATATAACTAAATCTATGATTTTAATTTTTTTTTTTTTTAAAGTATCCAAAAATAAATGAAGATAACTAAATAATTATAGAGTATCTGAACTACGGATAATTTTATCCGAAATATCCAAAATTTGTATCTAAATCGTTTTAATTATTTGATATTTTATCCTAAATAACCGATAATTTACCCGAATTACCCGAACTCGAACCGGAACCAAATGAGAACCAAATTTTCTAGGTGTTTGTTGGTTCCTAGTTTTACTATCCGAACCGAGCCGAACCCGATACTATCTAAACCGAACCGAACCGAAAATAGGTCAAGTAGTAAATGAATCCTCTAACTCTCTACCCGAAACCTGAAATACCCAAACCAAACCGAACCGAACCGATAGCCGATAATATGTCCTCCTAACTTTTTCATTTTTCAGGAATATAAAATAGAAGTTCATAATTTGTTTTTAGTCTTCCGATGTATATAGTGATATCAAACGCACAGTTTTAGGGTATAAAACTCCAGAAAGGCCAGCTTAATAAATTAGATGCATTAGATCATAGATAAAACAATTATTTATTCCGTTCAAATCCGGAAAATGCCTTCACTTTGATTCGGTTCCAAACCGAAAATATATTCTGGCCTGATAACCTATTAATCTGTTATGGTCAACAATGATATGATATTTAAAAAAAAAAAAACAAATCTTGTAATGTAAAATAAAAAAAAAATGTTAAGTTTTTTAATTTTCGTTTTTTTTTTAAAAAGTTATAAATTTTCTTTAGTTTTTCTGCATTTTAATTTTATTTTATATTTTGAATTTTAGTTATTTTTATTTTTTATTTAATTTCTGATTTTTCTTGGTTTCCTGAGTTTTTATTTAGTTTCATGAGTTTTTACTAAGTTCGCTGATTTTATTTAATTACTGAACTTTTATTTATTTTTTTCATTTTATTAATTATATAAATATTTTTGGAAAAAAACTGACACATCATTTTTTTACTTGTACAATCGGTCAACTTTTTATTTTTGAGGTTTTTTCTGACACAAATGTCACTTTAAATGTAAAAAATGTTAATGAAAAACTCCAAGGTGTACAGTTTCAGTAAGCGACACTTTAAAAGTTTTTATGCGATATTCCTAATGTTATATCTAATGTGTTTGAATTACGTCTGGTCGTTCGGTTTTAGGTTCAGTTTTTTCTTTTTTTTTTTTTCTTTTTTTTTGTTTTCTGGTTCTACATATATAGAAACCATTCAATTATTCTGAAATTTTGTTCCGGCTAACAATGTTAGGAACCGATTAATATACCAATAAAATTTTGGTTTCAATTGGGTCGAGGTTTGGTCCCTTTTTGGATTATTTCCGATTATTCTAATAGAAATCAGATTTTTCAGTTTATCAGATTAAATATCGAGTAATTCATATAAATTAAAATCTTTTGGATAAAATTTATTCGGGTGGTTCTTTCGAATAATTTAGATAAATTTAAATATTTCGATAAAAGAGACTCAGGTAATTATTTTTCTTTTTCATTTTTTGGGCATTTCAGTTTGTAAATGGTATCTTAAAAATCCTTGATTA